CGCAAGAACTGGCACGAAATCATCCTCATGTCCCTGTCCACCTCAAGCAAAATATTAGGCCACATCATCCTGAAGAGACTAAACAATACTCTGCATTAAAAATTACAACCGGAACTGGCTGGCTGGCTGGCTGGCTGGCTGGCTGGCTGGCTGGCTGGCTGGCTGGCTGGCTGGCTGGCTGGCTGGCTGGCTGGCTGGCTGGCTGGCTGGCTGGCTGGCTGGCTGGCTGGCTGGCTGGCTGGCTGGCTGGCTGGCTGGCTGGCTGGCTGGCTGGCTGGCTGGCTGGCTGGCTGGCTGGCTGGCTGGCTGGCTGGCTGGCTGGCTGGCTGGCTGGCTGGCTGGCTGGCTGGCTGGCTGGCTGGCTGGCTGGCTGGCTGGCTGGCTGGCTGGCTGGCTGGCTGGCTGGCTGGCTGGCTGGCTGGCTGGCTGGCTGGCTGGCTGGCTGGCTGGCTGGCTGGCTGGCTGGCTGGCTGGCTGGCTGGCTGGCTGGCTGGCTGGCTGGCTGGCTGGCTGGCTGGCTGGCTGGCTTCAGGAAGTACAATTCATGTGCTGATCAAATTGCAACACTACACTACACTACACTTCACTACACTACACTACACTACACTACACCACACTACCCATCATCATGGAACAGAGTATAGAATAGCAGTCAACTCATCACCTCACCTCACCTCACCTCACCTCAACTTCATCGACTTTGAAAAAGCCTTCGAAAGCGTCGACTGACAAGTAATTTGACAGGCAGTTGCTTCAACACTACGGTGTCAGTGCCACAAACCCTTACCAATCTCATTCAACAGCTAGCTATACGAAGGTGCCACATGCCAAGTGATCCACAATGGAAAGAGCTCAGTGACGCCTTCGAAGTGAATGAAGACAGGGGACAGGAGTAAGACAAGGCTGCCTGCCTACTATCACTCATGACCTATCTGATTGTGGTCGACTAGACTGGACTGGATCATGCAGCAGACAACTGTGAGGAGTGAGAAGATGGGCATATGCTGGCTGGACCGATGAAAATAGCCTAGAAGAAGATTTAGATTTCACCGATGATGGTGATGATGATGATGATGATGATGATGATGATTTATTTCTAATGTCTCGTCCCACAAACTCGAAGATCTACATGGCGGAAACTAACAAGTTGACAGAAGAGGCAGGGCAGCGAAAACAGGACTTCAAGTGAATGTAGAGAAGATGGAGGTGATGATGATGATACCCAACCAACAACAGCATCAAAAACAAGAGGCATCAATCACGATTAACGGGAGAAATGTAAACGAAGTTGTCTCTTCCACCTACCTGACAAGGCGGCATCGTTTCAACTACAGGCGGCACAGACGGGGATGTCAAAGCAGGCAGGATCGGAAAGACAGCAAGACAGACTTTCATTAATCTGAAATCAGTGTGCAGATCTACTGCACTCCACTCCACTCCACTCCACTCCACTCCACTCCACTCCACTGCACTCAGCATAAAGCGTGAACAACATCCGGATTCTCAACACCAATTCGGTCAAGTCAGTGGTGCTGTATGGTTCAGAAGTTTGGCGAGTCATGAAAAGCACTTCCAACAAACTACAGACATTCATCAACAGCTGCCACCTACGCTCACTCAATACTGAAGATCAGATGGACAGAATAATAAGAATAGGCAACAAGGAACTCTGGCTGTCTGGGAACGAACCAACCAAGAAACTATCACCCAACAAATATGCGGTGGGGGGAAGTGGAGATGGATTCGATTGGACATGCACTGAGAAGACTTATTGGGGACATCATGCTCCAGGTCAGGTCCTCGAGTTGAATCCAAAAGGGAAACGACGAGTTGGATGTATCAGCTGAGTGTGACATGGATGAGATGATGTTGGGAATAAATGAAAGCATGATGGCAGTCGTGGTGCCAGGTTTTGAAGACTGGAGAGAAGAGAGTGCAATGGGGCGTTCTACTGATGCCCTATGTTCCACTGGGAACCCAAATTAAATATAGTAAAGATATCATTGCTTTTAGGATGATTAGTTTGCAAATTATTTGCTAATTGCTTCGTTCTCAATGATACATTCCAATGCTGAATACTTTTTCAACTGCCTCTTTGTAATGTATACTGGTTACCCATTTAATTGGCTTGAGTAGTTTTTAATTCCTCATAGTGTTCAGTTGTATATATATTAAGTTTCTAACACCGTGTTCCGGACCAGTGGGTGGTATCCAAAGGAAAACCTATTGACATTCCTCTCAACTTTCAGTGCTTCTCCTGCTGATGTCAATCAGTGTGTGATGAATGTCACTTTGGAACCAGGCAATCCCCACAAGTCTCTGAACACAGCTGTGACGTGTTACCCCTTTATGGCGATTTAATTGCAGACAAATACTGTTTCTTTTTATCGAACGACTGGCATCTCAGTTATTGATTAAGATGGTAACTAGTTAGACTAGATTTGCCACAACGGTGAAAACTATTAACTGGTCTCAATCCTTAATGAAAGCTATCTTGGGATCAGTTGAATGTTCAGAAAGCACTCAAATAGATTTGGAATCCACCGTTCATTGGTCAGTGACCACCAGATGGAACTTTTGGGTTTCTATGGGACGTCATGGAGCGTTTATTTGAGATGGAAGTGAGGAAAGACGTCTTTGAATAGCCGTGGACAGTGATGGCGTTATACTAAAGACAGATTTAAGCTAACAGATGTAGTCTGTTAGATTATAATCCTGTGACAGAGTGGGACTGGGCTTAGTGTGGACTTGATCCCATTTGCGGCCAACGATAACCGCTCAGTGAGAAAGCTGCGATCCAGAGCTGCTAGATTTTCTGTCGTCAGTGGCTGACATTGCCGCACAGCACCATTCAGTTTAATCGCCAATTTACCACCTTGCTCGGTAGACTTAGCAGCGTCGGTGACCGATTAATGTACGTGAAAAGGTTTAAGTTACCTTTCTGTACAGTTGATATTTTTTAGAAACAAAGTCTACCTACTTTCAGTCCATTCCAAGTTAGGTAGTTGACCGTAATTTTATACTACGTATGTTCCTGATCAGTATCTCCTGAGTGTTTATATTGAATCCAGACTTGTTAACAGTTGGATAATTTTAATTAAAATGATCGTTTTTTTAAATAACTGAAGAGATCATTCTTAATTACAACCATGAAGATGTGATAATTGAAGGCTGTTAACATTTGGACAAGCTTAGTGTTGCTTTAAAATATGACATTACCTGGTTGTGTTTATAACTTATCATTCCACCGTAATGTGCAGTCAGCTTCTCGGAAAACAGAAAGATGTAGTACGATAACAACAGGTGTGTCACACCGATGGGGTATGGACTAAATACAACGGTTTATGCACACTTACAATGATTTCGGCTACTCTACATCTTCTGAGAAGGACACTCCCCACTGGTTTCGCCTCTTCAACCAATCTGATATTGACACGTGTACTTATGTGCCTTTTCTCGACAAATCAAAGCGAAATGATTGACTGTGGGAGACTGCAGAGATCTAGGGGGCCTCATGAGGATGTAGGCAATTTTGCTGCACAATATAGCAAAATAATTGGTTTCAATGTTAGAGGATAGTGACTGAAGTAGAATGGAAGCCAAGGTGAGTGTATGTAACCAATCAATGAGCTTCCACATTGTATAATATGGCGCCTTTCTGAATACATGACCATACCAAGCTGATGATCGATTCTTGGTACTACTCCAGTCTCTAACACTTTTCTACATTGCCTATTTGACTGAGTGATACATAACTCTTTGGGTTTTCGGTTCTGTTCAATATGTGTTTGGGGAGACTGATTGCCTCTTGATTGGACTGCTTGACATAAGATTGGCTGCTTTTTACCTGGTATTTGGAAACTCTTCACGGAAGGTACTTGTTTTGAAGTGAAGCCTCCCGCCGAAATTTCTTGTCTTGGTAACGTAACCAATGGAGTAATATTGCCTGAAATTCGCTTTAGAATTATAAGCTGTTTTAAGCAGTAGCTGACTTAATATGTGTTGATGATTGCTTGGTGCAGCTGTAACTGATGATTTTGTAGAGATTTTATGAAAATGGACAGTAAATTTAGTCCGAAACACTATCCAATAAATACTATCACTTTTAAGTGTGTGACGTATGTAACAGACTAAAACTGTATTACGACTCAACACAGTGCCCAATATCTACTCCTATTTTATTGATGTCGCGTGGTTGAACTGACAACTGAGAACCGCAAAGCTTTGACACTGTCGCGGAATTCTAACATTTTGTATTGTATCTCTCCCCGTTTTTCTGAATATCATTGCACATGTCTAGGCTTTATCCATCGCAACACCCTAACTACCAATCTTTCTTCTTCTGCTCTCATTGTGCAACAGAAGACAAAGGCTGACGGCTACCTAATGTATAATCTGTACGACCTAAGTCATACACATAAACAACTGAGTGACATGACTACAAGGCACCATGATTCATGAAAGCGAAATAGCTAATTTCATGCAGAGAAGGTGGGATAATGCTCTATAGTAGATTCTATACAGCATGCAATTATCTCCCAACCATTACCCCCATGGAATTGGTTGAAGAGTTAATATAGAGCTCTTGAGCTCAGTCATACGGTAATACTGTCAAACAAGTCTAAAGTAAGATATATTACAAGATAAATAAAACGGTATGACAGATACAACTTTTCTTGGGTCCCTAATTTTATCTCTTCGTTCCTTTAAAACAGGCTAGATTCCAGAGAGCTGAAAAAATATTTTGTTTACATGAAGAGTCTTTCAAAATGATGTGATTCCCCAGTATATTTTACAGCTAAAAAATGGATCACACAACCAGAATAGGAAGCTGGTGGACCAGTATTTGATTTCTACAGAGGAGGAAATGGTTGTGTTTACGCTTTCTCATCAGCTGCAGTGAGAAACCTCAGTTATGTGTATCATGGCATTTCTTAAGAGTTTAACAATCTAAATTTGATAAACCTCACATATTTTCGTTACTTTCCCTCATCTCTTAGGTGTCTGGACCAGAGACAAAAAACCCAGTAGAAGTTGAAACCACAATTAAGGAACCACAGAATCAACATACAATGAATGTGACTTCAAGTCAAAACATCAATGCTGAAGTGGAGGAAAATAATCATGATGACGTTTTTGACGATGACAACGAAGATTTTGATCAAATTGCCGCTGAAGAAACATTGGCTCAAGAATGGATTGATCTATTGACAGTTGATCGAAATCCTATTAAAAGAATCACAAGTTACTTTCCACGTGTATGCTAACCAAAACAAGGCATAAAGGTACACTGTGATTGATATATCTGCTTAGAATGACAAAAAACCACAAGAGGAATGTATTTCCTTGTTCTGTATGACAATGGCTTTCTTTCCAAAAGCATGAATACAATGAATGAGTAAAACTTTGTCCAACGTAACTTCAGAGGAGTATAGTTATTTAGGCGTTATGTTTAGACGCTGGAATTAGTTATCATGTGCCCTGATTGTTGTTGACTTTGGTGTTGTCACTGTCCGAATTCTTCTCATTCTTATAGTGTCTTCGATGTAGACGAGTGTATTTTTGCATCCTACTAATCATGTGGAGCACTATTCATATGACAAATGTCCTAATAATAACATAAATAATAAGTACTATTATTGCTACTGTTCTCTGCATTAATAATTATTACGATTGATTTGTATGTTAATGGTACTTTGAAAAAATAACTGAAAAGATTTTGAAGCAAGGCATCTTTATTATCTCACTGGTACTGCCAAGTGTCAAAATGGTTTCGTAAACCTGAGTTCCTCACCCTATTTGGTACTCATTAGAAGTGTCTGTTATGAACAGGTTGCAGGTTAGTTTAGTGTAGCAGCAGAACCCAACTGCTTTTTGCCTCACCACAATCTGACAGATCTTTTTGGCACTGTACGATCTCAATGAACATAACTTGCTGAGTTATTGTGAAATGAAAGCCTAGTCATGAAGTCAGGATAGCAGTTGGTATTTTACAGGAAGTATACAAATATACACTGTGGCGTACATTGATTTGAAAAGTGCTCTTATTGAAACGGGATTCTTTAATTTGATTGCTTAGCATTCACGATTCAAATTCTACACAGATGGTTTTTGGCATACATCATTAAAAAAAAAGCTCGGAAATATCAGGAGTAAAGAATTTTATTTAAGTGAATATTTTATGTTACTCTTTGGTGAATTTGTTTGTTTTATCAGAATGTAGAGTCATTTTAATAACTTGTCGTTCACGCTGACAAACAAGATGAAGTAGAAGGCCATCTTTACGTTTCCCGCCCTCTCTCTCTCTCTCCTCGTTTCTCTATCCACTTACATACCTGTCTGTCTGACTATCTATCTGTGTGTCTGTCTAACTACTCATCTGTCCCTCTATGAATTTGTTTCGTTATCAATACACTGATGTGAAGGTGAGCAGCTGGAAGAGTCAAACAACAACTAAATAGAAATTATCTAAAATGAAGCGAACAAGAAGTGATTGAAATTGGTGGCATATGAGGAGACATTTGCATTAATTAGACTTAGAAGCATATTTCCTCTCATTGGCATAAAATTTAAGTGACACGTATATCCAACCTGCTTGCACGTAGTATATAAGTGGTAATTTGTTCCTAAGAGAAAATATCCGATCTACTGGAATCTATATATCCTGTAGATATAACTGTCAGTGATTCTATTTGCTTGTAATATCTTTTACGTAATGCGTTGTATTGGCTTTTCTGCATCTAGGACAATCTTGTCTCTGTTCTCTGCGAAAATTTCTTGTTTATCTTTTGAACATCCTTTGAATCTCCTTACATATACACAGCCATATTATTGTTGTAATCTTAAGCAACCAGTTTTTCTAACTTTTCTTTTAGGGGCTAGTGGCGCTATATTGCGAGTTGACAGAAGTAGGGAACTGTGGTCTATTCTTTTCCGACTCACTGGCTTTATGGTAACGTGCTCGCCAAGCGAGCTGCAGGTCCTGCGTTCGACCCCTGACGGGGTCTTAGGTGCATACTGCTGAGTCCCATAAGAAGACAAAACAGCTGTCTATTGCCCACATATTTTCAGTGTTTCTTCAAGTGATGCCTATCCAGGATGAATAACACCTAGAATATGTTTTGTCAAACTGACTAAATTCTTCTGTATGTTTATGCTTATATTTTATATATTTTTTCAATTAACATTGTTCTGGGTGGCAACCAGTTGATGAGAACTAACCAACTGATATGGATCAACTTTATTCCGTTTTAATTGCTTTTCTCTCTCTCTGTTTAAATTCACTCGTTTCCAGGTCAGTAGTTCTGAAGATTTATTTTGTTCATTCAATAATGGGTTAATCAAGTTGCACTTCCGTGTGTTTAAACAAACCGAAGAATGCATCTATTATGTTTCGCTGCATTTTCATCAGTTGTATACAAACTAACCATACCAGAAATTTTGACAAAGTGTAAGACATTTGATACATTTCAGCGATAAAATCAACACCATTTACATCTTTCACAACAATACATGCATATATCGGAAATAAAGTTAACGACCCAATCAATCAATACAGAGAACAAGTAAAATAACACATCAGACTATAAAAGTGATCAGTAAACACAAAGAAAATAATACGACGTAGTAGTGGTGAAGGTACATGATAACAGCTCAAGGTGGTAGGAATGCTGATAGAGGGGGGAGAACATCAAAGATGGTGTGTAAAGTGAATGACTTAATGGTAGAGGAATGGAAAAGGATATACTGAAAATCATGATTAAAATATAATGGATTGAAGTAAATAGAAAATAATGGGAATATGAATAGTGCCTAAGAATATTATGAAGGAAGGAGCTGTGGTCTACACAGGGAAACGTTCATAAATATCTTGTCTAGATTTTCTAACTACGCTGAGATTATATTAAAACATATTCTTAGAATGACACAAACTCCATTTGGTTGACATAAGTTTAGTTTCAGTCGACGGATTCCTACTCCTATTTCGTTTATTTATTACCATGATGATTGAGTTTGAGTAGACAACATTATGTGAATTAAGGATATGTTTACCAATGGCGCCGCTAAGTTACCTTGTACCCTTCAGTGATGAGCTTTTCGGTAAACGCTTAGAGATTCTCTTAGTGAACACCTTCTTCCTTCTTACGATATAAATGGTACTGCAAGTACAGCTTAGTGTAAATCGTTTCTAAATTTAGTACGAATGTTAAAGATGTAGGGCAGGCAAAATGAATTCGACTCATCGCACAATATTTGCTGATCTTTCTTTGCAAAATATATCAACAAGTTAGAAACGTGATAGGACAATACAGAAAAAGTAAAATTCTTCACAAAGCAATATTGTAAGATAGGATAGTTGGTTCTCCATTAGTCGAACCGATAGTTCTAGAATATATTAATTATAACTGGTAGCAAAACATGACAGAGAAGTGGCGAAAAAAATAAAAGTAGTAGGAAAGCCAAACCGAAGTTGAGTTAAACTCAAAACACGCTAACCACAGTGAAGACCTAAGATTAAAAACAATATAAATGAAGGATTGGAGTTGATTACCACATTACGACAGTAAATGAAGAATAACTACTGATTCCTGTAGCATGTCAACGTCATGTTTTGACATTCTTTCCATCATCGCCTGTAAGAGATAAATCGAGGTGGGGTTGTGTTGTTTTTTAATAACACTATTTTCATTGCACTTTCAGTGTCTGTGCTGTGCCCCCTATCCGGTATTTGGTGTGCCATTAAACAATTAATGCCATCTAATTTTTGAGGGGGTTATGGAGATTTGGAAATATTTCAAGTTGTTATTCATCGAAGACTGACATCAGTTGCTCCCAGGTTTCCTTTGTTCCTCCAACTGATGTCAGTCTTCGATGAATAACAACTTGAAATATTTCCAAATCTTCACAACCCCCTCAAAAATTAATTGAACTAGTGCTCGTTGGTGACTAGCTTCGAGAAGTATTCCCGAAGTTCCAATGACAAGTCGTGACCGGTGGAGTCAAAGCCTGATGGTCGTGAGGACAAATACTCAATTAATGCCATCATTGAAAAACAAAAAGAGGTTACAGTGACGATAATGATCTTTTCGATGACTCATTTTCACAGCTATACATTTGTTAACAGACAAGTGAAATGATCCCGACAAATTTCCAGCCAAAGGTCAAACTTAGTCGTCCCTCTTAGTTTAAGATTGAACATGACAAACTCTCAATACGTCACAGATGCAATATGATTCGTCGAAATTCTTGAACCTATTTGTTATGCTTTCGTATGCCAACGGTTATAGATTACGAACGAATATAATACGCGCGCTTAGCTGACAGCTAACTTAGTACGCAAGAGCCACTGACTGCAACCCTGGGACGAATAGAGAGAAGACCGAAGCTGGATAATGGGAGAGTTTATTACTCCGAGAATAAAATAAATCAAACCCAAAACATGTGAATAAGTACACACATGAAAAATGACCTTGTCCTCAATTTGAGGCATTTGCATAATAAAAGTAAAGATTAACCAATTAGCGATTTACACTACATTGGGGGCAGAAAGTAGACTACTAGTCATACCGTAAAAATGTCGTGGGAATGACACGTTAAAAAAGGTTCAGATCGATAACAATGTTTTATACAACAACACTATTAAGTAACACCTCTTGAAACACTGTTTCTTATACATTCCAGTTTGCTGAGTCAGTCAAGGATATTAATCGATCAGGAAGAAGAATGATTTCATTTGACATCGTGTCACTATTCACAAACGTACCGTTAATAGAAACAATCTGTTCCTCGTGCAACTTCCTCCAATCCAGAAATCAAGATGTTGGCCTGCCAAACCACTACCTGAAGGAACTTCTCCTAAGATATACGTTTCACATTCACATCAGATTTAATAACGAAATTTAGACACAAATTGGTAGTCCAACAGTGGAATTGCATTTCGGATTGCCGACTGCTTCATGGCTAGCCTTGAGAATAGTACACTACTCCCAGCAATCAACCAACTTCATGTATATAACAGGTACATGGATGATACCTTCATTTTTTTTATTGACGACTTAGACAAGAAACTCTCCCTTTAAAATTTCAACGGCTGTCACTCACTCTTCAGTCGAATTTACATTGGAAGCTGAATCGAACTCCACTTTTCATTTTTCTTTCAACGTCAAACGCCAAAGGAGGCCTGATAATTCCATTCAAAGATCCATCTGAAGCAAGCCATTTCGGAACAGGCAACTGACCAACGTTCAAAGTTAGATGCCTTTAAACA